CCCAGTGGGGGGGGGGGAAGGTTGCCCACCTGTTCCCCTCTCAGGGTTTCAGTCGCACCTGGCGGGTTAAGAAGAATTGAAACAGGCATCTTCTAAAATGGACGATTCCAAGACCTCATTTGAGAAACTATTTTTAAGGGTGTTCCGGAGAAGCAGACAATAGGTGAATCAGTGTTTCCACACCCACATCGTATCTAACCTGTCCTTAAGATTTCTCTGTTAATTTCTTAAAGGCAAGTTTTAAAGCTTTCGGGGGAGGGGGAGAGAAGTTCTATTTAAATAAGAAATATGAATCCATACATATTACTTCCACAAATACGCAAGCCCGTCACGGCCCTCCTCGAAGGCAGCCGCATTCAATGACCAATCGGAAGCCGCGTTATATATTTCCCGAACGGCTTAAGGGCACGCCATTTTTTTTCAGGGCGGAAATGCTTTTGTTTCTTTTCTGGTTTACGCCAACGTAGAAAGAAGCGCTTCCCGGAGTGAACATGGCGCTCTCGGGTGCCCTTTAGGTACGGCACGGTTCTGTTCCCCGTTTCTCGAGGCACAATGGCGCTGAAGAGGATGGTTTTGCACTTGGGGGCAGCGGCCAGGACATCCCGGAAAGCTGATCAAGGTACAGAACCCTTGGGATTCGAGTCTGGCCATAAGACGCGTGAAACTCAGAAAGGGGAGAGCAAGGATCTTATTTAAGTGAGCGCGACGCTATCGGAACGTCTGAGAGTCTTTCCCCGAATATCTCCAAAAGGCCTAAATTAGAAACATGGATGAGAACAGAACCAGTCTGGGACATGAAATTAATTAAGCAAGGTTCAGTGCGAATAACACATTTTGAATGAAATTGTAAATATATTTTCAATCAAATGGTTATACAGTATTCGACTAAATTTAGTGATACAAACCGACGTGCTTTTGGAAAGTTATTGCCGTGCATCCCCACATCAGCAATAGAATAGGTAATATTAAAGTTTCATTTGTTTGTGTATGCCGCTATATGACCTATAATGAAAACTATTTAAAACAATAATTACATGCCATCAAGCCAATTCCAACAGATGGCAACCCTTTTCAGGGTTTTCTAGATAGAGAATACATAGTTTACCATTCCCTTCTTCTATTCCCTTCGTTGTTCGAGAATACATAGTTTACCATTCCCTTCTTCCATTGCCTTCATTGGTCTAAGCCGCCTTGGGTCCTTCCATCCATCCATATGGACATACATATAGTTACAAAGTTTTACCATTCCCTTCTTCCATTGCCTTCATTGGTCTAAGCCGCCTTGGGTCCTTCCATCCATCCATATGGACATACATATAGTGGATATAAAAAGTTTACACACCCCTGTTAAAATGTCAAGTGTCTGTGATGTAAAAAAAGAGACAAAAATAAATCATTTCAGAACTTTTTCCACTTAACGAGACTGTACAACTCAGTTGAACAACAAACTGAAATCTTTTAGGTGGAGGAAAGTAAAAATAAAAAACTGAAATATGGTTGCATCTGTGTCCACACCCTTGAACTAATACTTTGTTGAACTACCTTTTGATTTTATTACAGCACTCAGCTTTTTAGGATATGAGTCTATCAGTATGGCATATCTTGGCAAAAAAATTTTTTTTTGCAAAAATGCTTCAAATCTGTCAGATTGTAAGGGTTCCTCCTGTGCACATCCCTCTTCAGATCACCCCATAGATATTCAATCAGATTCAAGTCTGGGCTCTGGCTGGGCCATTCCAAAATGTTAATCTTCTTCAGGTGAAGCTATTTGTTGATTTGGATCTATGCTTTGGGTCATTGTCATTCTGACATGTTCAGCTTTGTAGCAGGAGCCTGAAGGTTTTGGGCCAATATTGACTGGTATTTGGAACTGTTCATAATCCCCTCTACCTTGACTAAGGTCCCTGTCCCAGCTGAAGAAAAACAGCTCCAAAGCATGATGCTGCTGCCACCATGCTTCACTGTGGGTATGCTATTCTTTTGGTGATGTGCAATGTTGTTTTTGTGCCAAACATATCTTTTGGAATTATGGCCAAAAAGTTCAACCTTGGTTTCATCAGACCATAACACTTTTCACCACATGCTTTTGGGAGACTTCAGATGTGTTTTTGCCAAATTTAGACAGGCTTGGATGTTTTTCTTTGTAAGAAAAGGCTTCCATCTTGCCAATCTACCCCATAGCCCAGACATATGAAGAATACAGGAGATTGTTGTCACATGTACTACACAGCCAGTACTTGCCAGATATTCCTGCAGCTCCTTTAATGTTGCTGTAGGCCTCTTGGCAGGCTCCCTGACCAATTTTATTCTAGTCTTCTCATCAATTTTGCAGGGATGTCCAATTCTTTGTAATGTCACTATTTTGCCATATTTTCTCCACTTGACGATGACTTATCTTCACTGTGTTCCATGGTATATCTAATGCCTCGGAAATTCTTTTGTGCCATTCCCCTGACTGACACCTTTTAACAATGAGATCCCTCTGATGCTTTGGAAGCTCTCTGCGGACCATGGCTTCTGCTGTAGGATGTGACTAAGAAAATGTAAGGAAAGACCTACAGTACTAGCAAAGCTGATCTTTATTTGGGATTCCTCAGAGGCACTTTAAATGATGGCAGGGGTGTACTGACTCCTACTTAACATGAGTTTGAATGTGATTGTTTACTGCTGAGGGTGTGCACAGATGCAACCATATTATTTCAGTTTTTTATTTTTACTTCCTTCCACCTAAAAGATTTCAGTTTGTTGTTCAACTGAGTTGTACAGTTCATAGGTCTCATTAAAGGTGGAAAAAGTTCTTAAATGATTTATCTTTGTCTCATTTTTTTACATCACAGACACTTGACATTTTAATAGGGGTATGTAAACTTTTTATATCTGCTGTACATACTTCTGGGGACTGTGCATCTTGCCCAAGGCTGCACTGTCAAGAGGTACAGTAGAATATCAAACTCCCAACCTCTGGAGCAATAGCCAGATGCCTAATCCATTGAGCTGTGTAAAATTGTTCTTTGTTTTATATTGAAAAACTGTGCATTGTATTGTTTTCAACATTTCTTAAATAAACGTAGCAACAGTTTTTCCCTTATTTTTTTAGCCATTAGATATAGTTCTGCTATTCCCAGTTCTACACCTTCTTCAGCAGATGAAGTAGATACAAGAGAAAATGAGATTGTGGCCCCTGACTTCACTAACCGGAACCCACGTAATTTGGAACGCCTGGCTTTGGCAAGGAAGGAACGAGGCTGGAAAACCACATGGCCAACACGAGAATTTTGGCTTAGGTAAGGTTAGAGAAATGAAGAATAGCAGAGTTTTGTAAACGTCTGATGTGTATTTTGTGAATTCATTATCAGTACAGAAGCAATTTCTTTTTGTTCACATTGTCCCTTGGGGTAGTTTTTTTTTCAGGTTTGAAGAATCTCATCAGAAAACAAATGAGTTTTTTGAGGTTTTCACCTATTTTTAGGCTTGTACTTAATGCTGATAAACTCATTCTGCTTCACAGTTATTGATGCCCCGTTTCTTACCAGTCTCCAGAAATTGCAGAGATTTGTTGTTACTTCCTCTATTCATTCCACACTTGCACTTCTGTATCTAAGGCAGGGTTCTCCAAAGTACAGCCCACGGGCCACTTCCAGCTTGCCTAGCCTTTATATCTGGCCTGTCTGTGCGTGCGGGTGGTGATGGTGCATGCATGCGGCTGGTCATGGGTGTGGGTGTGCGTGTGTATGCAAGCGGGGGTTCCTTCGGCCTTCAGAAATATCACAAATATATTATGTGACCTGTATGAAAAGTTTGGAGAGCCCTGACAAGATATCAATGACAAGAAAACCCTTGTTTGTATCGGGTTGGGCTGAAAACAACCAAATTTAGATTATATTGTACACACGAGGCATATGCACACATGGACTACTATACCAGCCAGACCACCCCATCGCCCACCTGATCCCCCACCAGCCTCCTCCATTGCAAACCTGATCTCCCTCCCACATCACAAGTTTGATTGCCCTGCTCACTGAGATCTGGGTTCAAATTACAGTTTGACTGTGGGACTCACTTTGAACTTGACCCTTACTTTCTCTGCTTCAGTCCCTCACAGGAATCCCTAAGCGTGTCTGCATTTTTGCTTTGGAAATCTAAACTACAGTACCTTGTTGGATCATAATAGAATTTTAATTGGAGAGCCTCTCAATTTAATGGTTAGAAAATCATGTGGTATTTGGAAAAAGCTTTCCAAAGTTAACAAATTGTTGAAAGAAAAACATCAATTTTACTTTTAGCTGAAATTATGGTTTAATTGATATATTCAAAATGTACAATTTGACCTTGGTTTAGGTTGTTATTTGTATTTCTGGACTTATTCTTTCCTGCTAGAAATTTTCCATTTCTAAAAAAAAATGGTTGGTTCATAAAAATAATTAGTAATAAAGCATGGGTGCCAATAAAATACTCAACAAGCATGTACAGTAGTTTCAAAGATGTCTCAGCCCCTAGAAATGCTCTTAAGATGTTTTTAAGCAATTAGTTGTGTGCTAGCTCTTATGTTTTGGGGCAGTTTGCCCTTAGAAATACATATAAGAGTGCATATACTTTTATACAGCAGTAATTCCTAATAACTAGTGATCAAATGAAAAGGATGTTGAAGAGAAATTCAGAATAAGATGTTGATGTGAGAGGCAACTAATGAAAATAATAAAAACCATTATACATAGGAAATCATATTATTGCCAAGGGAAATACAAACAGATCTACATGCGATGTTAGTTAAATTCAGTTGATCAAGTCTTGGGTAAAAGTTTCTACAACTGGACAGATCTTTGGAAATTTTCCACCCACAGTAGCTTCTTTAAGAGATGTGCTGAGGCACCAATTGTGTGGTTGGATCATCTATCAATCGGTACACAGAGGGTGGGCATACATCTTTCCAAAGCTATACTGTACTGTACTTCAAAGCCCTATCCAATCATTCAGGCCATAAGCTGAGCCTACATACTTTAAGAGGATAACCCTTGGCCCTTGCTCTCTATCATTACTTTGAACATGGAAATACAACTGTCTGAAAAGCAGGAGGACAATATGTCTAGGTAGCTCTCTATATGAAGTGCCCCCCTCCAAATCTGGGTACTAGTTCACATAGGGTACCATATAGAACAACCTCTTCCTCTCTCTCTCTCTTCCCTCCTTCCTCTCTGCCTTCAATTTATTTAATATTATACCCTTTTTTAATTTATTAGGTGCTGTATATTATTGTGTATGGTATTTTAAAGGGACACAGGTAGAAGTATATTTCTCTAAGAAACTTAGTATCTAAACTAGCAGGGTAAGGAAGACTGTAGACAGAAAGGTAACAAGGAGTACAGTATCTACTCATTCACTTATTCACGGTCTGAAAATATTAAACAAAAGAAAAATATCCAGAAAAAAAATTATCACATGTGTTACCTAAACCAGCTACTAGAGGGAATCAGAGGCCAGTCTAGGAATGCTTGTTAGTGAAGAATACATAGCATGGTCTTTAGCACTGTCTTGTGGCCAGTTCTGGTAGTGCCTGTGAAATTATTATTTTTCTGGGTTTTTCCCCTTTTACCATGCTCCCTTTCTCTCCCTCCCTCCCTCACATAGTGAATTATACATATATAATTATATATAGTATATATTTGATAGATAAATAGATTGATTGATTGATTTCAAAGAGTAGCTTTGAGACTCGTTGGCTAAGAATTGCCCTTCTTTGAGCAGAAATGGGCCTTCCTTCATTAAAGGTATTCAGATTTAGCTAAAGCCCCCATTGTTGGAAATACCAAACAGAAAATACAGAATGAAGCAGAAAATGTTTGCTGTTTCCTATGCAAATGCCCATACAGTTCTGACAGGTCTGTCTGATCTCCTGTGCTGCCAAGGGAAGGAGAATTCAGCTGAAACTGTTCTCCCTCCTTCCAGTGGTGGGAACATATGAAAAGTCTGCTTATGGTTACTGAACATCTTAAGTTTTTGTCTTTTAATGCATAGGTACTCTTTCAATTTGTGACATTTTAATTATGAAAAGATGGTATTGTGTAGGTATTTTGATAGGGACATTTAAATGTGAGGCATAATGTTTGCTGCTAAAATTAGAATTACTATATAGGGAAACTTGTCATTGATAATGGACATGCATCCTATAATTTCAAATTAAATTATGACTATATTTTTCTTGCCATTTAATTCAGGGTGCGACTCAATCAAACCCAGAAGCATGTGGAGGCCTATGTTGAGAGCTCCAGTGGTCACATAGTAGTCTCTGCCTCCACCCGAGAATGGGCCATAAAGAAACACCTTCATAGCACATCGGGTGTGACAGCATGTGAGAATGTGGGGCGTGTGCTTGCGCAACGGTGCCTTGAAGCAGGAATTAACTTTGTGCATTTTGGAGCAATCGTTCCATGGACAGAGCAGAGCATTTCGGCAAGTTGATTACTGTAGAGCTTTAAAGTTTTAATAAATAAATAAAATTACACACAGTTTATACCTCTGTTTGTCAGAGTCCTAGTGCTAATTGTTTTGTTTATTGGATTTATATCCTATTCTCCTAAAATGGGATTCTGCTTACTGTAATAATGGTTTAGAAGAGTTAGTCTGTGCAAGCAGATCAGGCAAAATCCAAAGGAACATAACAAAAACAAGACGATACGCAAACATGTGGCGCCTTAAAGACTATTATCTTTTACTGTGAGCTTTTGTGGACATAATAATGGTGTCATTGAACTAGTACAGGATCTGTTGCAGTTGCCAATATTTTGTGCACCAAGTTGTGCAACTGAATGCTTTACTAGTCGTGGATATGAGTACATATATATATAATAGCAGTTTGCACTGCGTCTTGTGCAGTATTATTAGTTTTATTTGTATGCCGCATTTCTCCCGACAAAAGGACACAAGGCAATTCATAGCATTTAAATTAACACAATTAAAACACAAGAAGTTAAATATTAAAAGACAAATTAAACAATATATGATTTAAAATTAAATTAAAAATGAAAACATGGAAAAGATTTAAATTATCTGCTAAAATAGGGTCCAGGGACTCAGTTGCAATTCTTAAAAGCCTGCCTGAAGAGATGGGTCAAAAGCATAACCCAATGCAAGTATGTTAGTATGGAGCAAGCATCATGTTGGATTAAGGCCACTGAATTTAAAAATGCTGAATATGTCAGCTGCTAGAATATACCCTGTTTCCCCAAAAACAAGACCTAACCTGAAAATAAGCCCTAGTATGATTTTTCAGGATGCTCGTAATATAAACCCTACCCCCAAAATAAGCCCTAATGCGTTTTCTGGAGGAAAAATTAATATAAGACCCTGTCTTATTTTCGGGGAAATGCGGTAGTCCCCCCCATGCTGTGATATATCTCTATACAGGGATGCTAAGTGTCACCACTAATACAAAGTTTCAAAGTAAGAAATGCAATATTGTATGTGAGGGGTGGATAAGATATTTCAAAGGGTTGGAGAAAAAGTATGAAAAACTAACAGGGCATGAAAGAGGACCTCCTCCTCTGTTGCTGTTCTAAGATTCTAGAACTCCCTTCCACAGGAAGAGAGGCTGGCTCCACCTTTACTGGCCTTCCAGAAGCAGGCAAAGACCTTTCTCTTCACAGGCTTTTCCTTAGTGACAAAATAGCCAGGAGAGGTTTCAATATGAGATTATTTGCATTATATTGTTTCTAAATTTGTTTTAGTAATTCATTCTTAATATGTTATTAATTCATTTAATATTTGAATAATTCACAGTTTTTTGGCTTTAATATAGTTCTTTTATTATGCAAGCCAATTTGAGTTCTTTTTTAGGAGAAAGGCATGGTAATTTTTTTAATATTTGAATAATTCACTGCTTTTTGGCTTTAATATAGTGCTTTTATTATGCAAGCCAACTTGAGTTCTTTCTTAGGAGAAAGGCATGGTAATTAAAAAAATGCTTTCTGTATATAGGAAATGCTATTAATTGACAGAATTAAGATCATGACTTAATTCCTTTCTCTTTTTAACAAAAAACAGGTCAAAAAATTTGAAAACGCTATGACAGAGGGTGGAATCGTAATGAACGAGCAGCAAAGAGTGTATACTTAAACTAACAAGTCACAAGAAGATCCTGATGCAAGTCTTATAAACATACTGTTTAAAGGTGTAATAGTATTGAAACCTGTTAAATAAAATAAAGTTTTAATATAAAAAGTGGTGTATGCAGTGTCTTTAGTAGCTTTTTTTTTAATTTGCTTGGAATTTATCAAGCTAATTGGATTTCAAAGTAACCTTGTTGTATACTGTGAGGCCCCCACACAGGACGCCTGTGTAGGAGTGCCGACGGATCTGTCGCGGACCCAAAATACTCAAACCTCTCCCCCTCCTTCCCCACCCCAACGTGAGGATAAACAGGTGGACACAAACAAGTTGGAGGATTTACCCAAAGTCAGGGGGTGAATGGATATAGGAGTTGATACCAGCGACTTGGTACAAACAGTGAAGGGGTTAACCTTGTCACCGAGGCCCAGGAAAGATTTGGCAGGAAGAAAGAGGGAGGAAATAGAGGCAACAGCTGGAGATATAAAAGGAAAAGGGGAAGAGATCCCGGGGGGCTGGGAATGGATCTGGGTTGAGAATCCTTGGACTGGGAAGTGGGAGCAGATAAGAGTGCCTCATGAGGAGGCAGAGAGGAGAAGGCGCCAAGGTCTGAAACCTCGACCCTCCTATTGGGGGGAAACAGAGGTGAAGGAATGGCGGCGTAAGTTGAGGGAGGAGAGGGAGGCTGTGGCTAAAGAAATTGAAAGGAAGAAAGCATGGCATCTGGCGGAGTTACAGAAGATGGGGGTTTACCCGGGCCATGGTTGGCAGACACCGGAGAGGGGTTGTCCGTATGGGGATGGAGCGGCAACGAGGAGACACTTCCCTTGATTTTTCCAGAAGAAGAAATCACAGAAAGCCAGGTGCCAGTGAAAGGTGTAACTGGACCTTGGATTATGGAGGACAGTAACCCGTTCGTTGGAAGTTTATGGACACCTTTGCGACCCGGTTTGGGGACGCAAGAACCGTTGAAAGTACTTACTCATGACGTTCCTGTTGATGTTGGAGTTCAAATAAATACAGAACCAGTTGGACAGTTTAATCCATCTCACTCTTTATTGAAAGTGACTGACCCCTCTAACAACGAACCCTCACATATACCTGCTTATTTTGGCACAGTCTGGGCACTGACCTATAAAATACATTATTGGCTCATCTAGCAGCATCAGTGCACTTGCTCTGCATAATCTAGTTTCTTGCATACCACAACTTCCGTGTTCGTAGAGGATCACAGAAAAATGAAGTGTGATGAGATGTGTTGTTTTGTCTCAGTGGCTACTATATTATACAAAATTTCACTACACAGATAGGCCTGCATAGTGCAAAGTTTGAAAGTGGTAGTAAAAAATTATGCAGAGCAGAAGTACTTCTGCAGGTACTGTATGGTGTGCAATAGTCACAATGTGAACTGCATAATTGATTGTGCAAATGTTAACTGTAGTTGTGAACTGTGCAATTGATTACACAGTCTGAACCATGGAGCCTTAACATGAACCATGTGATCTATTGCACAAGGTTGGGTGTCAGGAACACATTCATCGTCTAGTTGTTTAGTCGTGTCCGACTCTTCGTGACCCCATGGACTAGAGCACGCCAGGCCCTCCTGTCTTCCACTGCCTCCCGTAGTGTTAAATTCATGTTGGTTGCTTCGATGACACTGTCCAACCATCTCATCCTCTGTCGTCCCTTTCTCCTCTTGCCTTCACACTTTCTCAACATCAAGGTCTTTTCTAAGGAGTCTTCTCTTCTCATGAGATGGCCAAAGTACTGGAGCCTCAGCTTCAGGATCTGTCCTTCCAGTGAGCACTCTGGTTTGATTTCGTTTAGAATTGATAGGTTTGTTCTCCTTGCAGTCCAGGGGACTCTCAAGAGCCTCCTCTATTCATTTGAGTAATATGAACATGTGCAACACATTCATAGGCATTACTTTATATTATGCCAACCTGAACAGAATTTCAGTTAATGAAAGGTTGAGCTCAAAGTTGTCCTGTGTAGTCACATTGGTACAAGCTGCTCTACACTGCTGCCTTGGATTTGTACAGCTATGAGGGTAGCCACATTTCAATTGACTTTCTACAGTTCTTGCTGGTGTGAGCCAATTGGGAAAAATTAGGGTTAACAAAAATGTATTAGCATATTAATATACTGTATAATATTCACAGTAACATATGTATATTGAATAATATGCCTTGGTTTTTTAAATAAACTTTTAAGCTCCTGAGCTTTCTAAGGTCAGCAAGGCAATCAAATTAAAATACTGTATTTGGTTTAACAGCAAATTGGAGATATGACTGACCCCCTCCCTCTCTAATTCTAGCAGGCTGCTAAAGACTCATCTCTTCCGAGAAGCTTTGGGTTGCAGCAAATCCTTGATCATGCCTGTCTTCTGTTCCTGCCCCATTTTACGATACCATCTGGGTTTAACACCTTTGTCTATTTTTCTTGTTTGTTGTTTGCCTATTATGTCTGATAATGTCATTTTGTTTTTCTGTCCCAGTGTTTTATGAACACTGCCCAGAATAATGCTGTGCACTAACGGGGTGATGTGACCAGCCCCAACCCTATCACCTTTTAAAACATCTTTCCAGTAGCAAACCATGACACTAGCCATTAACCACACCATACGTGGTGGCTAAAGAATGAAAATTATAACTTTTAATTACAATACATAGGAACATAAGACTGGGAACAACTTTAAGCTCGAGTTTTCCTTCAGCTACAACAAACAAGATAATTCACACCCACAAGTTTCTTATCTTGCTCCCCAGCTTCAACATTTGCTCAGTTCTGTATTCCCCCTTTTCGTCATAACCCTTTTACTGTATTTTATTTTTTTTCCATCAAAGCCTCCAGGCTCCTCTCTCTTTCAATATTCCAGTGCTCTTGTCCCCCCCTCCTTATTCAGGCTCCAGGATAGGCTGACTCCATACACCACCCAAGCAATCAAATTGCCACCTTGTTAACAAGTGGATTGGCCAGGATTCCCTTCACATGTGGTATATGAACCTCAGAAATACAGTGGGGTCTCTACTTAAGAACTTAATCCGTATTGGAAGGTGGTTCTCAAGTTGAAAAGTTCTTATGTTGAATCTGCATTTCCCATAGGAACGCATTGAAAACCATTTAATCCGTATCTGCTCTTTTCCGTCCATAGAAACTACAGTGGAACCTCTACTTAAGAACTTAATCCATTTTGGAATGATGTTTTTAAGTTGAAATGTTCTTAAGTTGAAGCAAAATTTCCCATAGGAATGGACTGAAAACCAATTAATCCATTCTGGCTGTTTTTTTGTTATGTAGAGGTGTGTTCGTACATTGAAGCATTAGTTCCCATAGGAACTAATCCAAAACTGGTTAATACGTACTCTACCACTAGGGGGAGAATTTTTTTTAACCTAAGATGACCTAAGGTTAAAAAAAGAGCAGGAAAGGTTTTTTTCCTGTTCTTATCTTGGATTTCTGTTCTCAAGTAGAAGCAAAATTTAGCAAATGGAGCTGTTCTTAAGTTGGATTGTTCTTAAGTAGAGACGTTCTTAAGTAGAGACCCCACTGTAAACATGTAACTAAATAAATACATAAACAAACAAATCCATAAATGGACTAAGCCATATCTCCAAACAGAAATGTAGTTAAACACTGATGAAATTTTAAAAGATATACAGTACAACCAACAGGAGCCTTAGTTAATCCTGTCTGGATTACTATCTGTGCCCTCTGTGGGAGTCCCTTCTTGAAGATTGTTGAGAGACTTCAGTTGGTCCAAAATGATAACACCCTAAACATCGCATCTCCTGTGATCCACACAGCACAGGCTAACTACCGTTCTGCTTGTTTCCAGGCCCCATTCAATGTGCTTGTTTATGACTTCCAGTATAAAGCCTTTTAATGGCTTGGGTCCAGGCCGTCTGAAGGACCACATTCTCCCCCCCCCCAATCATCCCCGCAACCTCCACCGTTTTTAGGATGTTTGGGGGAGGCCTTTTTCGTGGACCCACTGCCCTCGCACACGTTTCGTGAGGACGTGAGCGGGTCTCTTTCGTGTTTTCTCCCAGGCTGTGGGAACTCCCTTCTGCTGCAAGAGGCTGAGCCGGCTTCCCCCTTTTGTGTCCTTCCTTCCATCAGGAAGCGAACACCTCTTTGGGAAGCCTTTGACCACAGCCGGGGCTGCAGAGACAGGAGAGGGAGGGTTCTGCACTTTTCATTCCTCGAAATTTATTCCGGATGTATGTGCCATTTTATTTTGGCTTGGAGGCACGTCGCTCACACACACCTTCAGGCAGCCGTTAAAAGGCGCAGCAGCCCTGCCGGGGTGAAAGCCGCGAGAGGGAGCGACTCCTTTAATAAACCGAGGAGAAGCGGCCACGGAGCGGGCGAGCTGCTGCCGCGGCCTCTCGACGCCACTGCGCCTGCGCCGTGCCGCTGGGGCTGGAAAAGCTGCCTGCTCCGGCGCGTGGCTGGCGGCAGGGAGGCGGGATGGAGGTCGGGGCCGCGCAGTTCGAGGCGCAGTTGCCCGCCTTGCAGGAGCTCATCCTTCGCTGCGACTTCGTCGGTAGGCAGCTGGCGCGGGGCTTTGTTTACTGCGCAGGTTTACTGTGAAGTTAAGCCCTACTGTATTCAGTGGGACGTGGTGCGAAGTCCGCGCGTTTAGGCGTATGCTTTCTATTTCCGACATTTATTTGGATTAAACCGTTGTCCCTGGGACGGACATTAGCAGATTTCAAGGGATTGGGGATCAGCTTTATTTATTTTTATTTTATTTATTTATTTATTTATTGCATTTATATGCCGCCCATCTAGACATAGTCTACTCTGGGCGGCTCACAATTTAGAAGATAAAAACAATTTAAAATATACAGTTTTACATTAAAACAAAATGATATAAAATGTAATATAAATTTATGATTTTAACAGTTAATTTAAAGCAAAGAGTCCCAAGATGGCAAGAATAAAAGAAGAAAAATAAGAATGTATTGTTACTAAAGGTCCAAAGTCCAATAGTAGGAGAAAATGGAAAAATAGTATAATAGAGAAGAGGAGAAGGGTTAAGAGAGAGCCCTCCCAAGTACAGTATTGTTCCACTGCAAGTCCTATCCGCCCTCGTAAGCAGAGCCGGCAGTGGGGGACGATGGGAATTGCAATCTGTCAACATCCGGAGGTCCATCGCAGATCGAGAGACAGAGGGAGCCGTTCACCTAAGTGTATGCATATAAGAACGAGGCGGTAGATTTTAATGTTTCCACGCCTTTAAATGTTTTATAATTTTATGTGTTCTAAACTGTTTTATTTTTAATTACTGTAAAGAGTTTGTTTTAAATTGTTGTATACCTTCTGTAACCCACTCTGAGATGATGCAATATGGGGTGGGCTATAAATGTTTTTAGTAAATGATGATGATGATGATGATGATGATGATGATGATGATGATGATGATGATGATGATGATGATGATGATGATGATGATGATGATGATGATGATGATGATGATGATGATGATGATGATGATAAATGTGCCACCAAGTCAATTTTGACTTATGGCAGCCCATTTTAAGTTTTTCTAAGTAAGAGAGGCATACTGGTCCCTTCTTCTGGGGGTGCCCTGGGACTGTCACCTTGCCTGAGGCCACACAGCCTGGCTCTTTGGGGATGAACAGTTGGGAACTGAACTCTCAGTCTCTGGCTCTACAGCCAGAAAAACATTTGGTCCATAGTAGCAATGGAAGGCAAATGGTCCAGTCTGGTGACCTTTCACATGCCCTCTGTTCTCTCTCTCTCTCTCTCTCTCTCTCTCTCTTCTTTATTTTTTTACAGCTCTTGACATGGAATTCACAGGTTTACATTCAGTATTTTTACCAGGCAGACGACTTAGGTGAGTTTGTCTGATTGAGCATATTTTCCAATTAATTGGAGTAATATGAACATGTGCACACAATGACACGGGACTAGTTTAGGAATGTGTTTTTTTCTTCCTAGTCTCTTTGATTCACCTGCTGAGTGGTATCAGAAAGCCAGACAGAGTGTTCAGCAGTTTACAGTGAGTCAGCTCGGTGAGTTCTTCTAATTTTAAAAACGTGGGTGGAAGTCTTGAGGCACGCCTGATGTTTTACAGTAGTGTCTCAATGGGAGCAGCTGCCCTGTTTCCTGCCTGAGTGTGTATTTTAAAGTACCATGTCTGGGTTATAAAGTGGAAGTCTGAAAGCATAATTTTAGGTGCTTTGAAGCATCCACATAGAAATACCATCTGGAAAGGAAAGAAACCCTTCCTTAAAGGTACCCTATTTTGCTAGCCCAGATTTTGTTCTTAACTTTAACAAAAGTAATATCAGTCATTGTTATCATGAAGGCACACAGGCTTTGTGATTGAACAACGTGTGTTCTTCATCACCTGCACCTGATTCAGTAACATAGAATTTCTGTGTCAGAACATTCTGAAGTCAGAACATTCACTTTTTATCTCGGGCTTTATCTTTAACTCTTAATTCAGTGTAAGCCACAGATAATTAAGATGAGAAAGGTCGGAGGAATGTGGACTGTCCTTTAGTGCAGGGGTCCCCAACTCCTGGTCCGCAGCCTGCTGCTAGTCTATGGGCTTTGCAGGACCAGGCTGCAGAGACAAATCACCCCTCCCCCCGCATGCACGCAAGGTGGGCATGGCACGCATGCACAGGTGAGCGGGCATGTTCGCGGATGGACATGGTGCACATGCCCCACTCACCAGTGACCGCACCATGCGCGAACGTGCCCATCTATGAATGTGCCACGCCCATCCATGAATGTGCATGTGCGCAAGCGTGCCACACCCGCCTGTGAAGAACGCACCATGCCCACCTGTGAGTGCAGGGGCACCCCGCCCCCATAACCGGTCTGCGGTTGGGAAAAGGTTGGGGACCACTGCTTTTCTCCACGGCCCAGTTCTGCAGTACACCACTTCCTGCATTGCTGGTTTGTGCAGTGCTATAGAAGTGGAAAGTACACTTTTCCTAAATATCTTTGCTAGTCACAAAGAATGTGCCTACGGCAAAAAATTGATCCAGAGTAGATTCTTGGATATCCCCCGCACACAGGTCATTGCCTTCCTCCTGAACAGCTTCTCGGTAGACATTTCTGTTATTTATTTCTGTTTACAATGATTGCCAGTATTCATTGTGAAAACTATGCTGGCCTTAGCTTTCACCTTAGTCCTGGTTGTCACTTATTTTGTTAAATGACCAAATCTGTAGCATCTTTATAATGTACATGAAATAGTTCTGCCATAACTATATGTAAGCAGTAAAGAAAGCCAAGTGTTTGTGATCACAGCATCACCATGTGTATATATTTTTTTTCTTTCAGGTTTATCAATATTTTGTAAAGAAAATTCAGACAAGTAAGTAAAGTTTTTTTTACTTTAGTGCTGATATTTACATGATGAAAAAAATTCTTTTAAAAGGACTTCTCTTGTGAAAGTCGTGTATTTGAAGTTGCCTCTGACTTAAGCCAACCAATGTATGAAGGACCTGCATGTCTTGTTCATAACAGCTCTGCTCAGCTTTTTTAAACTCAAGGGTGTGGCTTACTTTAAGTACATAGTCTTAAATCACTTTTATTAATTTTTACAGGTACGTGGCACATTCATATAACTTCTTCCTGTTCCCTTCAACATTTGGCAAAATGGATTCAGAATTTTCTTTCCAAGCATCTAGCATCCAGTTTCTGTCTCATTATGGTTTTGATTATAATAAGGTAGATTTAGTATCAAATACATTAGGAAAAGGAAACTTACATTGGGGAGAATTTCTATATTATAATCTTTTCTGAGGGGATTCGTTGTTGTTGAAATGCAGTATGCTGAAAGATCTTTTTGCAGTATAAATGCAGATTGAATTAAGTTTCCCATTCCTGTTTTTAAGACACGGATAGTAAAACAAAGTTTGGATCCCCTTGTGTAGATTTTTCTTTTGAAAAGGAAGATACTGTGTTTAGGTGTTTGCTTTAATACTTAATAATAATTATATATCATCAATTGATTCCAACTTATGGCAACCCTTTCCAGGGTATAGTGTATTTAGAAATAGTTTACCTTTTTTCTTCTTTTGGGGATGCTCAGGGACTGTGGATCTTGCCGAAGGCTACACAGGCTGGCTCTTCTCCCACGAGACATAGTGGAGAATCAAACGTCCAGCCCCTCCTTTTGCACCCAGATACCCCAACTCGCTGAGCTACCCAGCCAGATGCTTTAATAGTTATCAAATGATAATTGACTTCGTAGGGTCCCCCCCCCTTTTCTGTGACTAAACAGAAGCAATTTGAATTTTCTTGCCCCTTTTTAAAGCACTTGAAATTTTGATAGAGACTGACTTTTGTACAGGTAAATACTTGTGTGTAATCTAATGAGTACAAAAGATAGGAAGAGTAACTTGAAATTCCATCTGTCTTAACATACCCTGTTTCCCCCAAAATAAGACCTAACCTGAAAATAAGCCCTAGTATGATTTTTCAGGATGCTCGTAGTATAAGTCATACCCAAAAAATAAGCCCCAGTTAAGTGAAACCCCGCCCTCCACCATTGTGCAGCAACCAGAAGATGACATGACTGTATTTGAATAAATGTAGATTGTTGTACATGAAAAAAATAAAACTTCCCCTGAAAATAACCCCTAATGCGTTTTTTGGAGCAAAAATTAATATAAGACCCTGTCTTATTTTCAGGGGGGGAAATGGTAGAAAAAAACACGCTGTGTACTTATATTTTTCTTTCTGCAGTTTCTTAAAGATGGAATCCCATATATAAACGAAGCACAAGAGAAGAAGCTTTGTCATCTTTTATCTGGTAGCTGGATGATCAGTAGGTAAAAACATTTCCATGCTAAGTTTCTGTATTGTTGGAACACTCCTCCAGTTGTTCATGGTGTGTTTGAAATCATTTGAGTGGCTGGATAGAATGACATCTGTACTTACCTAGCAATGATTTTGGCATCAGCCATTGTCAGTCATCACAGGTATAAGTGAACACCATTTGCTTTTGAAAAGGCTGTTTGAGAAGAACTAGTCTGTGTATTAAGTACTGCTACATTAGGAATGGACTAGGATAACACCTAGATAGATCATTTTCTGCTCTCTGACTTCTTTGCATCCCCAGTTCTACATTCTACTTCTGTGGGTCTTGCTGTCCTTTCCCCACTCTCTTTGTTTCATGTCTCCTCAAAGTTAGTGTCTTTTATCAGACTCTTTCAGGGATATGTGTTTTTTCCTCCTTGATTATAGCTGCCATTTCTTGCACTCATTAACTACTTATTTGTCACTTGTATCTTTTCCCCTCCTTTAATAACTAGTCATCTTTCTCTTCCAATTCTTAACTTATTTTTTAAAATTCTCTCTCTTGTTATGCCCTGTGGTTCTCTTTGTTCCTGGCTAGCTTTTTACTGTTCATCTTGCTACTTCTTGTCTGCTTGTATTTTTCTTGTCCTGCCTTGTAAACTTGCCTTTGAGGCTGAGACTGGAGAAGGAGCTGAAGAATGCCCCAATGCATGCATACAGCATCATTTGCAATTCGAGCTGCCAGGAGAAGTAATTATTTTGTTAAAAAGCAAAGCAACACATGCTGCTTGTATACCACCTCATAGTGCTTAAAGCACTCTCTGGATGGTTTGCAATTTAATTATGTAGGCTACACATTGCCCCCCCCTCAGCTGGGAACTCAGCTTACTAACCTCCGAAGGATGGAAGGCTGAGTTAACTTTGAACCAGCTGCCTGAGCCTGTTGGAATCAAACTCAGATGGTGAGCAGACTCTTGACTCCAGTACTGCAGTTTAACTAATGCACCACAAGGCCCCTAAAGATGACAATGGAATACAGATATCACAAAGCAGTACCATGAATACTGAGTTCAAGCTGGATCATACCTTCATACATTTATCTTATTCCTCTCATTCTAGTGGTTTTAGCAAGGAGAAGCTGAAAAAGGTGATTGATGAAGTAACACACTGGGTGGCATTGGCAGAAGAGAAAGAATCAATGGTTTTGCATGATATATATGGTAACAATATTTTAACTTCTTGTCCTGTAGTCCTTTGAGTAAACTTATGACAGGTTTATATTTTGTCTGAATTACGTCTTTTTCCTCATCTCTTCAGATCTGTGCATCTCTACTGGTGATAAATTGACAAATTGCTTTGTCAATGTATGTATTTCAAATAACACGTAGTTCACTAAGGAGAATCACTTTGGTACTTAGGTACTAAAAAGGATAATATTGATTATAACCAATTTGAGTATATAATATACACGGAAAGTAAATGCAAATAGGCTTGTCTTCATTGTCGTCGTCGTCACCTTTCGACTGCCAAGCTGGAAGGGACCTACTGGATCCCTGTCACACAGGCCACACAGACGGGCTCTTCTCGAATGGTTGTTATGGGTTTTTCGGGCTCTTTGGCCGTGTTCTGAAGGTGGTTCTTCCTTATTCGCGAAGGCTTTCACGGCCAGAATCTAATGGCTGTTGTGGGTTTCTCAGGCTCTTTGGCCGTGTTCTTGTCGAATGCACAGTGGGGAATCGAATTTTCAAGATCTGGCTCTGCACCCTGATGCCTAACTTATCCAGCCCCTAGAATTAGAATTGGGAAACTCATACCACAGAGAAAGTATGTACAGGTATAGATATTTTTGTGCGTGAGGAAGATATAGTTGTGCAGTTTTCCCTTCCTGGATTTTGAAATGGTATAGTATAGTCTCAAGAGGCATGTTTCATATCTGTTGGATGTATAGATTAGTTGACAGTGTTCAACAGGTTAGAAATGTGCTGTTGTTAAACAGTACAGTAACAGTAACAGTAACAGTAAAATTGCAAATTACTATCTTTTATGATTATTTAAAATGCTATACTCCTTTTTCAGTATTGACATTGTCTCACATATACAAATATGCACAAACAAAGAGTTTCTTGATTTGTTATGAGAATTTCTTTTTTAAGGTTTCCAGATGTTTGAAATACAACTGATTCTAAGGCAAGCTATTGAAAATATTTGGACAGCTCCTTTGGGAAATCATGAAGTAAGCATCTAGTGGTGGGACTAGTGTATGACGCTTTCAGATTTCTTGGATGCTGACATTTTCTTTCTACAGTTGTAAAGGTTTTAAAATCTATGGATGTTTGGCCAAATTTTTGGAACATATAAGAGTAATCCATTTAGTATCTTGTGACAGTAGATCTATGTAACTTGACTGCCAGCATCTCCTGTGTGCTGGCACTGGTAAAGCTCATCTCTGAGGTGGCTGATCAGGAGGCTTGCTTGAGCTAGTTGATTGAGAGACTGTATTTCAACTGAGAACTGGCCTGGCCAGTCAGCTGGAAGGTACAGGGTTCCCTTCAGAAAAACTGCAGATGTGACATTTTTATTCCAGACCACGTGCTTGTATTTATTAGCTTCCCCAATCCACTCTGGTGCTCAGTCTTCATGTGTTTAAAAGGGGGCAAGAAGGCTAGTCTCCCAGTGCCATATGAACTGTAGATCTATCGGTGTTGGCATGCAGTTCGTTTCCAGTTCACTTCTGGGTTAATCAGCTTTAGCACTGAATAAAAGTACCAGTTCTGCAGTTCTCATGTATAGTAGGAGACTTTGAAACACCTCCAAATTGATGTTTTACTTGATGTCTAGATGCTCAAATGAATGCATGCAATCATGCTTTTATTATTATAATAAATTTTCCCAACAACCTTGGTTTAAAGCTGGCAATAAATGGTCAATGTAATGAAAACATTATTATGAATTATTTACATGTCATCAAGCATGATTCTGACATGTGGCGACCCTTTCCAGGGTTTTCTAGGTATAAAGTACTCAGAAGTGATTTCCTTCTTCTGAGGGCACTCTGGCTATGCAACCTGGCTTTTCTTTCAGGAGGCACAGTGCAAAATCAAATTCCTGACCTCTTGACTCCACTGCCAGATATCTAACTCACTCAGGCATCGAATTGGAGACCACTGTTAACCTTTTATTAAATCATCATTTTAGTATAAGGGTAATCACGTGTATAAGTGGGGCAGAAAGTTCTCACACATGAGCATACGGACACTCAAACTGCTGTTCTGATTTCTTGCAGTTGATGGTGAAAAAGATGAATCGACAGCAACGGTGGCTGCTGGAAAACACTTCTTATGATGCTTGCCAAAAGGAGCAAATTCTTCTCTCTGCAAGAGGTTTCACTAACCTTTTCCAGGCACTTGTTAAAGCAAAGAAGGTAAGTCCCAATGTTTGCCATATTTCATCCACTGAAATATTTACATTCAACTTGAGATACAGTGGTGCCTCGCATAGCGAGGTTAATCCGTTCCGGATTAACCTTCGCTATAGCGAAACATCACTAAACGGAATAAAAAAAGCCATAGAAACGCATTGAACTTCGTTCAATGCGTTCCTATGGCTTGAAAACTCACCGTTCAGCGATGTTTCTTCATAGCGCCGCCATTTTCGCGCCCTTGTTAAGCGAGGGCAGGGCGCGAAAATGTGGCGCGGACCTTCCGGCGGCCATTTTGGAACCGCCGATCAGCTGTTCTCCCCGGCTTCGTTATGCGAAGATCGCTAAGCGAATCGCTTAGCGATCTTCGCAAAGCGAAAAAACCCCATAGGGCCCATCGCTGAGCGAATGCTCCAGCGATGGCCCAGAGTGCCTCGTTAAGCGATTTCATCGCTCAGCGAGGCACTCGTTAAGCGAGGCACCACTGTATTTGACAATACATATCTAAATTTATTGATAGTACCATATTTTAATTTGAGAGTGTAATGTAGATTTTGCTATACTGGGAATAGATTAAATTGAAACATTTATAAATATAGTACTATTTTATCTACTATAAATCTAGTGCTTATAGCACAGTTGTTATTGTCAACATCATCATCTTAGAACTGCAGAGCTGGAAGGGGCCCAGTGGATCATTGAATCCAGCCCCTGTCAAGGCGCAGTAGAGAATTGAATCCAAACCTCTGGCACTGCAGCTGGATGCATAAACCACAGAGCTATCCATTAAGAAGACCCCCCCCCCCAAAAAAAGGCTGATCAGGGAGAATGAATTGAAATCAATACATGAGCAAAAGATTCTTGACCCCTTCTGTTAAACCTGATGCCAATAACTATATAAGTATTCCAAATTTACATCTTAACTTATTTGGGTTAAATGCAAATATTCCAACTCATTCAAGCATATTTTCAAGTGCATTATCTGGACCCCTTTTTCCTGGAGCTACACACAGGAGCCTGCTTTATTCAAAGTGCACAGATCTCTACATTCAGATCTCCCTGCGTATGAAAAATGTAACCTAAAACCTTTCTACCCATTTTATAAGCTTTTTGGGACTCAGCAGAATTTTTATGTGGGCTTTATATCTAAACAAGAAGTCTCACAAAAATGTCCTCAGATAGTCCAAAACTGTGAGAGGGCTCTGCCTTTAGTGTCCTTGTATGTTTGAACCAGTACAGTATTCAGGAATCATTGTCTTGATTTTAGAGAAGGCTTTTAAAAAAAATCAAAGCATGTTGCTGGGACACATCTCTCTCTCTCTCGCTCTCGCTGTACTTTAGCCCAGAGGTCGTCAACCCCCAGTCCACAGCCCATTGCCGGTCCGTGGCTTGAGCCCGATCGGGCCGCAAAGGCAGACCTCCCACCCCCCCACGCACTCCCCTCCCCACAGCTACTTTGCACGTGTGTGTGTCAGTGACATGAGCACTCCCTCACCCCTTCTTGCAAGCCCCCGTGTGTACAAAGCAGCTATGGGGAGTGCGTGCGGGGGGGAGGCGGGAGGTCTGCCTTTGCGGCCCGGCAGCGACAGGGCTGGGGAAGAGCCGAAAGGCAGGGTAAGGGCCACGTGTTCTGGTGGCTCTCCCTCCCGGCAACGGCAACGGGGGTGAGGGAGTGGCTGGAGAACAGCCGGGAGAGAGACCAAGGCCCGGGTGTTCTACCAGCCCCCCTCCCGGCAGCAGCGACGGCAACGGGGGTGAGGGGTGGCTGGAGAACTGCTGGGAGGGAGAGCATGGCCCCGGTGTTCTGGTGGCCCCCTTCCCGGCAACAGCGGCGGCAACGGGGGTGAGGGGGTGGCTGGAGAACTGCCTGGAGGGAGACCAAGGCCCGGGTGTTCTGGCGGCTCTCCTCCCGGCAACAGCGGCGGCAAGGGGGGTAGAGGGGTGGGCAAGAGCTGGATAAAATTAAAAAGACTCCCAGGCTTCTGCCACCACTGCTACGGACGGGCAGGCGCTCCTACATATGAGCAAGTGGTGAGGGAACGCGCGTATGCATCCCAGCCACCGTGTGCATGCCTCGGAGAGGGCAAGCGCCAAGGGCCGCCCCACCTCCGTCAGAGACTCTGCCGGGCCGGACTAGTAAAAAGGTTGGGGAACTCTGCTTTAGCCTGTAGACATAATTGATACTGCTAAGTCTTTCTACTATCATAATTCCCAAACAAATTGCATTTGTTTTCTTAAAGAGTTAAGTAGAGAACTATAGACATGCAGTTAACCATCTTGTGGTCTCTTGGTTTTTTTCCCCCTGCTCCCTCTGTAGCCGCTTGTGGGACACAATATGATGATGGATCTTCTACATCTACATGAGAGATTTTACAGACCTCTTCCTGGTAATACCATTTCAAGCACAAAGCAAGCAGAATCTTTTTGTGTTTAACCCAGTGTTAAATAATTGTTCCCAGTCCTTACATCCATTTGAGGAACTGATGTATTTTCAGTTTCGGGCCAGGCTGAGGCAGTAGCTTAATAAATTATATATTGGCACGCAAAATTTACTGTCTCCTCTCTCCCTGTTTTCTTTCCTTAGAGGACTATGAGGAGTTCAAAAAGAACATACACACCTTGTTCCCTGTTCTCATAGATACAAAGAACATCACAAAAGTTGCCTTGAAGGTAACTTTCATTCTTTGTGTTGGCTCGCCTTTCATCTCAACCCTCTCACCACATCAGAATAAAGGTCCCTAGCTCAGCTGTAGAGCTCATACGCAGTGTGCCGAAGGCTCTGGGATCAGTAGCCAAAAGATCATAGCCAACTCCCACCCCCCATCTGTAATTTAAAGAGTAGTAACAAGTTCCTGTTTCATTTTGCTTTGTCTTTTACTGCTTCATCTTGGAAGAGCAGCCAATGCAAAGCTGTAGTGATTGCTCAGTGTTTTTTTGTCACCTCCCTGATCCCTGGGATTATGACTGGGACACACTGGTGTCTTGCCATGTTCAGGTGAAATTTGTGCTGCAAATTCCTGGCTAAAAACAGCTGGATTCCTGAGGGTGGTTACTGCTCTCAGCTTCAATAGGAAAAGACACTCTAATGAGTTTTCATGGCCTTCAACCTAGCTCTTCTGACTCCTAGTTGGCTGCTGTTTTCACACATCACACTGGCTACCTGGTCTTATAAATTACTCAGTATTAAAGTATGGATTAATCCTGATTCTTTCTTGAGGAGAGTAAAGATAGGAGGCCTTGAAGGGCAATTAACGCTACAAGAAGATACAGAAACAGATATTGAACAGAGATTTTACATAAGAGTGGTTGGTCTCTATTGAATATAGATTCTATTATTTAATTTGTTTGTAGTGATTGTTTTAATGGCATTACATTTTAATTAGGTCTAAGTGATGAGGTCATTAGTCCTCTTGAGCATTGTTATTTTAGTGGAAATGATTGGATGAAAATGTAATAAAGCCCAATAATAATGAATTAGCACCTTTTCCATCAGTTTCCTTTTTTATGACTCTTGAATGCATTCACACCCATGTAACCTGAAGGCTTTTTCTTTTTTCTTTAAATAGGAATTTCAGTTTCCTCAAGCTTCTAATTTGTTGGAGGTTTACGAAGTGCTGTGCAGGTCAGCCACATTTTTTAAAGCTATCCTTCCTATTTTATTATGGTGTTGGCTTGTCCAAAAAAGAATATGGCTAGTTTTCTTTTCTTAACAGTAGTCACATATCACTAGACATTGGCTACGACTGAGGTTTCCAGAATTTAAATGTCAGTTTGTTTTTGAATTCTGTTCTCAAAATTTGAACAGTTGGTCATTAGAAAGAGTGACGTTTGACAGAAGAACACGTTATGTAATGTTTGTGAAATAGCCCTGTTCTTCGACTTGAAGCAATTAGACAACCAGTGCTTAAAATTTTATGGGTTGCCAGGGATATTAATGTGTTTCGGGCAACAACAGATCTGAAAAATAGGAGGTGAACAGAATTCCTCCCCCCACCTCTTTCTGGAAATGCAGAACCATGAGGTAGCATGCAATGTAAGAGAATCAATGAAATGGTGGCTTTGGACCTGTTTTTAATATGTTCTGTATGACAGACTGGTTAACAGACATGTAGCTATGCTTTTTTTCTGTCACTTACATTTGCCTCACTCATCTGATAGATAAAAGATCCCAGTTTTTCTGACTTTTTATTTCAATGGAGAGGCAAATGAGAGAAGAACGAAGGAAACTGCAATGGATATAGACACAGAAGAACTGAAAACTGTCTATTGCTGTCTCTCAGTAGTGCTGCAAATCCCACAAATCAGTCTTGCCCAGAGATCTTGCATTCAAGGGACTGCCTCAGATACGGTACGTCTGGTTGTAGAAGCAAACTCTTGGTGCATAGCGATAGACCAGTATGTCTAAGATATCGGCAATATAATCTGAACTCATCTGGAGTTCTGAAGAGCCTACTTGAAGCTTTTTAGTAAGCTAGCAGTGAAGATAAAATTAACCTGTACTTAATTTTATGTTTGGCGTACTGCTACTTTCCTTCATTCCAGGGCCCATCAATGAAGGTAAAGCCTTTGAAAGTGGGGTGCATAGTCCGCCTTTATGATGCCTACAGGACACTTGTGCCAAAGCACATGCGTTGGTCTTGTTCCTGTCAGCCCATAACACGATCTGCAGAACCGAATTAGCAGTACATTTCTGTTAGGAATAGGGAAGGCATCTGAATCTTCAAAGAGGTGTCCAGTGATTTTGTTCTGTAAGGTTACTGAGATGAGGATAATCTGAGATGCTGGTGCCTCACCACACAATTTAATAATACTGCCTTAAGATCTTGGTATGCAGCAACTGACCTGTTCTGAGGATTCTTAAGGAAGGAAATGGTGATATAAAGTGAAATGGAACATGTGGTTCTTCAGATCTTGGGCTTGCCTGATAGTTAATGTAGAAGAGTTTCTGCAGGCTGTTCTGCTGCAGAAAACATTTGGTTTTTTGTTTAAAAAATTCTGGTTTTTGTTTTCAGCTACAGACAGTTGTCCTCATGAGGCGGCCTACGATGCATTTCTCTGCGGGTCAGGTATTGGTGTGGTCAAAAATCTTCATTTTTGTGCACATTTTAAAAGTTCACTGGCTGAAATTCAACAGGATAAATTATACTGTAAGCTGCCTAGAGTAGTGGCATGCTCACTAAATTAAAAAATCATCACCATTGTCCCATTTGATAGTCCATTCAACGCTCCACATAACTTTTCCTCTTTGGTTCACTGTCTTTTAAGCAGACTAGGTAGCTAGTAGGGGTAGCTGCAGCGAGAGGTAGCAACTTCAGAAGCCCATTGGGAACAGATAAGAACTCTTGAATACAGATGTTCAGCTAGTCCAGTGCCCTTTGCCTTTAGCTTTCATGAAAGGGAGATGGTTGTTTTCGCACAACTATAATTTTCATGTTCACTTTTGCAATTTTCCTGTGTAATAACAAACTATAAATGTGATCACGGAATTATGTCTTTTTCTAGTACTTCTTAAAATAGCTCATTTACTCCTTTGCAGAATTTCTTGGTAAGTAATATTTTGAAATATGTAATTATGTTTGTGTTATTAACTGTCAGATTAGTTTCAAGTGAGAAACTTTTTTGAAATTGTGTTGGAGTTACATTAAAATACTAGCTTTCATAACTGTGTTTATATTATTAGCATATGCTCCATTTTAACATTTGTAGGCTAAAATCCTATTGCATACTCACAATGGCAAATGGAATTTGGCACAATGTGTCACCTGAGAAAGGCAGCCAGTCAATCAACAAGCAAACAATAGGTGCAAATTAGCAAGTTACAACAGTACTGTACTTGGATTCCTCGTGATGTGACAAGTCACTTAACTGGTGCACAGTATTGAGTTGAAGTATTGACTCATGAATTAATAGGAGTTTGCTGCTGCAAGTTATACAGTTGCCCTTCCTCCATCGTAACAATGTAATAGGATTTTAGTCTTAGTGTAGATCATAAAACATTTTTATTTTGGCAGGCTTTTCAAAGCTGCCATCAATTTTAATGTGTTTTAGAAGCTATGATAGTTCAGTTTAATTTTATTGCACTAATTATTTTATGTTATGTTTCTTTTATGCCACTGTTGTTGCTGTGAACCGCCCAGAGTGACCATCGGTCAGATGGGCGGTATAGAAATTAAATATACTGTATAATAGATGAAGAAAAAGAAATAAAGGAAAGTATGGCCTGTATTTTAAAGCAAGATGAAACTTCAGTGTCTGTTTTCAAATTGGTATGAATGGTGTAATTTCACGAAGCAAATTCTCGGAAGCTCTGAATGTTGATATTCTCTTTGGATATGTAAACAACATGCTAGAATTTGAGTGCTGATGATTAGTTTAAAGGTGGCGTTTATTGCAGCAAGAATTATAACTGCAGGATTGAATGGATGCCTTGCTTCCTTCAACCTGTGTCTGGAAACAAAGACAAATCATAGAAATGAAACTACAGGTGCTTTTGGTACAATTGTGGAAGGAATGATAAACCCGTGAGGCCTGTCTTGATGTGGGCACAGTTTCTGTGTAGCCTTTTCCCCCCCTTTTTCTTTTAGATTATGGATTTTAAAACCACCAGTCAGAATGGATTATCTTAAGGCAGTTTTTAGTAATTCAGTAATTAGTAAAACACGTAAGATGGTACTCTGGTCTTAAGTTGTGTCTTGCCAGTGTTGCATTTGAATCAAACACGTAGTGCCCAAAGGGAAAAAAGTGGATATTTTAAAACAGTACTTAAAACAGTTAAACAAAAATTCAATTTTAGCATTCCTGCATTGGTACTTTATTCTCCCCAACAGAATGCTTTTAAGACTTGATTTCTTTTCCTTTAGTGATGAAACAAGGACTATCCCTTCCTTTTCTCTCTACCTTGATGTATTGGCTGCATATGTAAATCAGGTGAACCTTATCCGAGCTGGGGTTCAGAGAATTGTGAGTATAAAATCCAGAAGGATCTGGCTTTTGGTGGAGAACCTGCTTTTGTAACCCATAAAATCACAACAGCTTGCTCTGTGAAAACGTCTCAAAGCAGACAGGATGGGGTGAAGGAAAGATCTTTAAACGTTATTATTTGAAAGGTGGAATGATTTATGCAGTTTGTTAGACTGAGAAGCAGAACATTTAAGTCTAGAAGGTGAGGCAACAGATGGCATTAGAAAGTGATTTCACTTCACACCCTCAGTTCATGCACATGCTCTCTTTTTTTATCTGCTTGGCAATGGAGAGCAATAACAAACAGACAAGCCTTGTGCCCTCCAGAGTTTGAATCTGCTGAGAGAAGATATGTTTTGCCCTCAGTAAAGAAGGTTTAACTTTATTTTATTTTACCAGAATTTCTCTGGCATGGATGACTATACAAAACACCTGCCACTTCTGATAGCTGATGTGCGAGGTTGGCCTATGGTGAATGAAGAGCAGATCTATCAAGAGTTAAGAGTCCTGTGCAGGTTTGATGTGAGAAAGCTAAGAAGGAACCAGTTTCTCTTGCTCTCCAACAGATTGAAAGAGTATGTGATTAAAATTGTGATTTTCCCTTGTCTTAGCAGTTTCTGTTTTGAACAGTCAATCTTTGCTGTTCGTCAGTTCAAAGAATTCAGTTTGTCGGCAGATCCGTGAGGTCAGAAACAGCAGAGATTATTTAACAAAAACACACCTGATGTGTGAATTGTTTTTAAGACTTAGCTCACTGAATGATAGAGTAAAAGTAAAATAGAAACTTTTTTGTGGTTGAGCTTACAAAACGAAAGCACAGAAATACTGGGTTTTAAAACTGAGGCTATCTTCATATTCATTGCACATATGTATGAAGGAAGGGGTTTCTCTAGTATTCCCCACTGTCCCGGTTTTACTAATATTGTAGTGATTGGTTATGTGATAAAACTGATCTCTGCATGTTTCCATTTGATGACTATTAGCCCCATCTTATGAGCACTAGCTGTGGACGACCATTTCCTGCATGGCACAAATTCTGTAATTTTTAAAAAAGCATTATCTCTTACTAGCATGTGAGAAAATCTACCTGATAAAAAGGGAATATGCACCAAGGAGATACGGGGCAATGCTAGCACACATTATGGCTGTGACTCTAATCTAGATTAGTAATATGATTTCAACTAGTGGAAAGCAGAACTGGATAGGATCACTTCAGAAACAGGCAATGCCTGGGGAATTACATGCTCAGGGCCGGCTTGCTGCCTGGAATCATGGTGGGCTTCTCCCTTTTCCTCCTGGATCTCAGTACACTAGGTTTAGGTACAACCTTGTGAGTAATGTAAGCTGTTCCTTATCCTTACTTTCATTTCCCCTAGATTAGTGAGTTAGGCGTGGGGAACAAGGAGCTTGTAGAAGCAACACACAGAAACACCATACATCTCCTTTTCGCTGCTGTGTTGGCAGGAGAAGGCACTGTGGTGATGTGACTGAGCTCTCCTGCTCTGGCAGCCACACCTCATTTCCCAGGGCTCATGTTTCTCTATTCCCACCTTCAAAAGCACCATGGGGTTGCTCGTGGAAGAATCAGAAGGGACAGGTTGTGTATGTTCCCCAGTTTTGGTTGTAGCATAAGAGGAATCCACAGAACCCAGCCCTTAGATTTAAGATAAGAATTGGCATAGAAACAGGCCAGTTTATTTGCAAGGCTGAAACAAGACCATAAACTATACTGTCTGGAATCCTCTCTTGGTGTAACTCATGCTGCACAAGCCAGATGATGTTATCATCCGGTGACAGGGATGTTCAGTTTAAACCCTTTGAAGGTTTCTTAGCCTCCCCCCTTTCAAGTTCCAAAGCCCCCTAGGGCTCCATTTGCCTTGAGGAAGCCTTTTGAGAGCCTTGGGATGGGGAGGGCCTTATAAACATTGCTGCTGGATCTCTGCAAGTAGTTCCAATCCACAGCGGGGGATGGAGGAGTGATTTTTGGTGATTGAAGACCACCCCCCTCCCGAGCCTCCCAAAAGCTTTCCTAGAGGAAAAGGGAGCCCTAGGGAGTCTTGAAATCTGAAAAAAGATGATCAGAAGCTTTCAATTAATTTTAATGTAATATTTCTATGGCCAAATGATCACATCATCTGGCTTGTGTAATGTAACGTTGCACAAGAAGATTTGGGCCACTTACTTAAATATCAAATAGTATTTTAAGTGACTGTGTCTGCTTTAAACTTCCCCTGAATATTTGTCTCAGGTTCCTTCACACCATACACTCCCTTAAGTGTCTTTCTTTCACTACCACAGCAGTTAAATTCTCTCAGACATCCTTCTGTGATTCAAATCAAGTGTAAAGTCTTTAAAGTCCACTTCCCAATGTTCTTTGTGCTTAGCTGAGCCAGAGAGAAAGGGTGGAATTTAGAGCTTGTCACAGACAATTGCAGCTATTCCTTATTTTGCTTTTGTTTTGGCTAAAGTAGGGGAGTGTATACATGTGTGTGAGCATGACAGAATGAAGCAAGAAAAGGTGGTTGACTGGAAGTCAGATGGAGTCCTTCCTTTCCATGGCAGGAAGCCAATGTGAGGGCTTATTTGGGGATGAGAACATTAATGAGTAACCACACTTTAGGGTATGGCTCTTGAAGAACTTGCTGATAAGCTTAGATATAGGTTGAGCAGCAACATGTGGTGCATAGATCAAGGATGGCCAATACACGACACATCTTACAAGTTCACCCACCCACTCGCCTCATTTTTGTGCCTCACTGCTACCAAATTTCAGCACCATGGCAGTAGTAAAACAAACATTAGAAATAAAAAACACCCTTTCTCTTCTTGCTCGAAACAAGCCAGAAGCATGATTCAGAGTTAAAAAACATGCCTTGCTTTAAAGCAAATGTGATTGGGGGCAGTTTGCCAGCACAGCAGCCTGCTGGCAGGGTGATTTACCCCAGGAGGTTCAGGGGTACAGTATACTTACCAACTACTAGACATTGATGATCCTGCCTTCACTCAAAACTTTTCCATTGCTACTACTGTGCGTCCACTTGCTTTCCCTGCTGTGCTGACATTTGGTTGTGAGGAATTGTTTTGGTTAACAATGTCTAATGACAGCAGCTGTTGGGTCAGCAGTACTCCAGTTTTCACTGGCACCTGTCTTGGAAAGGAACCTATAAATGTTCTTCTTCCTCAACAGTCATTGTAGTTTTTCTTTTAATTATTATTACAGTGTTCGGATGATTCTGAGAGAATATAAAACCCATCCCAGCCTGAAGATTTCTGTGTACCACCACTGGAAGCATTCTCCACAAGTGAAATGTCTCCTCCAGTAAGTAAATCAAGCTTTTTTACCATACTCGAAGAATTCTAGAAAATTAATGTACATTTTTAGTTCCTTAGTCGCTCAGACATCAGTCTGATCTTCCAGACAATGGTTTGAGCTTGTATGTAACATTTCATTCTTCCATTTCATGGTTTCCTCTAAACTGAACTAAGGTACACATTTGGTGCTGCAGCTTCTCTGCTGTGGCAGATACACAAAGAGTGGCAAGATGTGTAGTCACATTTAATAGAGGGCAAGTTGTGTAGTCGTGTTCTCAATGGGGGTATTTGGGCAAGTTGTGTACTCACAGAGCACTACTGAAAGGAGGGACTAGTAAAACACTAATTTTTTATACCTGGAAACCTTGGGAGGGATCTTATGAGTCATAACTGACATGACAAGAAGGAATGGTTCAATATGGATGTAGTAGGTCGGTTTTAGTTCACCTTCCCACCTGCATTTGATAGGTTATGGACAAGCTCTGCACTCTCAAAAATGACATAGATCAGCTGTGTATCAGCACACAATCTGCTTACCTCTAGAAGGTGCTAGTTTTGTAATGAACACCAAGCATTCATGCTTGTGTCAGTTTATCTGACAGAATGTGTTTCTAGCTATTATTGGAAGTACATTGTTGATCTTAAATCTGTTGAAGAAAACTATTGGGAGATGACGTTTATTATTTATTACTTTAATTTTTATACCGCCCCATTAGTGCCGAAGCACTAATCTGGGCGGTTTACAAACAGTTAAAACCAACTCCTCAAAAACACTAAATTGCAAACAATAATAAAGCATAGCCTAATAATAATTGAATAGTTCATGAAGTAATCCTATGTCTGCACTTATTTCCAGTACTTTAGAGACAAAGACAGAGAAATAAGAGAGTGATGTTATGAAAAAGCCACACTTTCTGAATGATACCTGTTTGGAAATGAAATGTAACATTTGTCATAATTTTAAAATGAATGTAAAACATGTGGCTGGCATGGGTTGATTCTTCCAGCTGACAGTCTTTTGAATACTCTTCTCTTTTTCCAGAATTTGTGGCATTGTTGCTTCTTGGTCTCTGCTGGCTTTTCTTCTTGGAGGCTCTTCCAGTTACATTGTGTAACAGATCATCTACTGGAAATGTATTGTACTGTGACTTAGTTTCATCTCTTCTCTTGTTCTAAACAATAGTTATGACAGATTAAAATACTTCATGTCTTTTTCAGCAGTTCTAACTCTAGTTTGTTTTGTGATGTGGGGACTGGCTTGGGAGAACAAGCAGTTTTCATGGGGAAAGAGAAGCTTATCTTTGAAGATAATGCTGGAAGACAGCCTCATCGTCAAACTGTATCTTTATCAGTGCAAAACAACATTGTTCTTGCTTCTTGTGCTAAGAATCTAGTCTTGGGAAAATCTCTTTGCTCTTCCAGGCTTGTCCACCCCAAGCTTCTGCTGCTTTGCAAGTATTTTGCCAGTGACCAGGACTGCAGCAGTTGATTTGGATGCACGCAAGAGTTATGTTTCTTGGACTACAGTTCCTGACCCATGTGGTTCTTGCCAGTCAGGGATTTCCAAGAGGCTCGCCTCCCATCTGTACCATATTCTTCATGTCCTCAGTAAAGCAGGGAACTAGGCTGGAGCTAGATTGCAGCAGTAAAAGAAGATACAGTGAAGTCCCTGATAGCTTAAATTCCAATCATGTCATTCCTGGAGTAAACTCTTATTGAGAAACAAATCCATTCATTGTTCTCCCCCCTGCATTTGTGGGCCTTTAGATTATAGTAATTTAATTTTACCTGGCAATGATGAAATAACACCAAGATGATTTTTTTTTAAAAAAAAGAATGATAGCAGTGCTAGGTATTGAGACAAAAGCTACCCACATTTACAGATGTGCTGTACCTTCACAGATGCTATATGGAGGCAGCCATAGGGTGCCAAAGGGTGACTACACTGGCATTTAGCCTGCTTTTTAGTCTGCTGCAGGGATGGCCTGGTTCACTCCTAAAGGTGGCAATCGGATGATGTCTTTGCTGGAGCAAACTATATCGCCCGCAGAGCATTCCTGCATGCACACTTCTGGGGTTCTACTTTTTGGTGCAGGTACGTTTGCTCCATTTTGGTTCATTTTCATTGTGTGTGATTGGTGGAAATGAACCAAAGCAAGCCTTCCTCTTTGAATTTGCCTTATTGTGAAGTGGCTGAAGAAGAGAGACACTTTGGGATATTGGCAAATACTTCCTTGGTTGTGTAGAGGGGCAGAGGAAGGGGAAAAAATAAATATATTAGGGCAGTGCAGATGCACTACTCCACTTAAAAGACAAATGGAAACAGTTCTCCCAGAAGACTGGAGGGGAGAATCAAGGGGAATTTATGTTTGCTTTTCTCTTAAAGGTTCATTTGAGAACCTGCCCAATTTATCTTCCCATGCATCTTTGTGAGTTGCAAGGAATCCTCACAAGTCCCACAGTGCAATGAGGCACTTCCTGCTCAACAAAAGTGGTGTGGGAACAGCAGGGAGGTAAGAGGGCTGCTCTGCCTCTTGTGGATTTGAGGATTTTCACTCCCACAATTTCGGGGCTTCTTGCTGAATTATTGGAGTGGAAATCTTTACAATAAAAAAGTCCTTCATTCTTATGGAACCTCATGGCATGGTGGTTAAATTGGAGTACTGCGTCCAAAGCACTGTTCATGAGCTGAATTCAGTTCTGAAGGGCTGAGGTAGTTGGCTCAAAGTTGACTCAGCCTTCTATCTTTCCAAGGTCAGTAAATTGAGTATCCGAGGAAGCTTGCAGTCTGCTTGCCACCCTTCCTACTTCAGAGGCAGGAGCATCAGGAAGATAGCTTCCAAAGATAACCTCAATATGTGTGCAGGTTCCTCAAAGGGCAAATGGATTCTGTGTCTTAAAGGGTCCTTGAGCCGTGGAGTGTAGCAGAATATATGTCCTATTTATGAGTCTAGAATCCTGCTCTCTCTCTTTTCTAATAAGAAAATGAAACTTTTCTGGTCTCTGGAATTTTTCCAGTGAGTACTGTACCAAGTTCTGCAAGAAGGAAGACTTTTGATTAAACTGCAGAACAGACAGCCCTACCATTTCTTTCTTGTTTGACTTCTGGTCTGTGATGAGACATCTTTTGGCAAAATCTCTTGAAATGTCCTTTGAACCGTCATTCTTTGTTTCTGTAATTACAAAAAAGAAGGAAAACTTCTGGAATGAGTTCAGTGAAAAACTGAAATGTACCGTCTTGACCCCAGAACACAATGCCTCGTTTGGCTTGTATGGAATGGTACTTCATTATTTTTATGGTTTTACTATAAACTGCCTTATGCACTAATTGAACGGGGGCAACTGAAAAATATTCTGAAGAAAAATGGGGACCTAAGAGTGTTCTGTCCCTTGAGGTATGGTTTCCCCCTTAACTTGGTTCACACCTCTCCCTGATTTACCTATACAATGTGCCTTTGTACAGGAATTTACAGTTGGAGGACTGCAGATGGGGTCCCTGTCAGGGGTGTGAATCTCAAATCATAATATGACTATATTAAATCCCTGAAGGACAGGTAAACCAATTTTGAGTACCGTGTTTCCCTGAAAATAAGACAGGGTCTTATATTAATTTTTGCTCCCAAAAAAACACATTGGGGCTTATTTTCAGGGGAGGTTTAATTTTTTTCATCTACAACAATCTACATTTATTAAATACAGTCATGTCATCTTCTTCTGATTGTTGCACAGTGGTGGAGGGTGGGGTTTCACTTAAGTGTGGCTTATATTTGGGGTAGGGCTTATATTACAAGCATCCTGAAAAATCATACTAGGGCTTATTTTCAGGTTAGGTCTTATTTTCAGGGGAACAGGGTGCTATACGTTGCCAAGCTTTGAATGTCTGGTAAAATTCCTTTTTCTTATGTGGTAGAAGTACAGAAATCCACAGAGGAATCTGTACATTATCTGCAGCACTGAGAAACATCTTTTAAAAAATTTGGAAAGCAGGGCATTCTTGCTTTACTCCTTTTCGACTACAACAAATATTTTGACAAGTTGCATTAATAAACATTTAAAATTTATTTATGTGTCATATATTTAAATGAATCCATTTTGGAGAGAGGGCATGGCATGCCCTGCCTGTCAAAGTCTTCTTCACAGGATGGTATCACCAATCAGGAAGGTGGAAGGGATGAGCTTGAGGTCCTACTGTAGCAAGTCCTAACCTGGAGGTAGAGTATGGCCTTTCCAGAGAAGACCCATTCTCTTCAGACAGAAAAAGAACCTCTCAGGAGGAACACCCTTTCAGTCCCAGAGAACACTAGTGGTTCAAAGTGCAGTTGGGATTAAGTAAGCGTCTTCGTGGAAAACATTCTACTGCTGAAACTGACTTGCTGTGACCAATGAAAGGAAGTTAGCACCACAGATGTGAGGGGAAGGAAATGGATCCAAGACACCAGTGCAATACAGAGAATCGGCTCCTTTCCTGGCCCGTCTTGTCCCTTGATCCTGGCTCTCAGCATCCCTTGCTCTCTTTCTTGATAAACCTCTCACCAACACCGATCCAGATAATTTGGTCCCTGTTGCTGCCTCTTCCCTGTCTGTATTGATGATCCAGTATGGCACTCTTGATTCTTTTGCTTACTCCCCAGAGTGTGGCAAATGTCTCTCCTGTGTATCAACTTGGCTCAGCTTTAAATTTCCTTTTCACCTTGGCAGAAAGTGACTCTTTATAGGGCCTGTCTCTTGCCTTTTAGGCACTTGGAGCTGTAAAACAGGGTAGGGCTGCAACTCAATGGTGAAATGTATACTTTGCAGACAGAAAGTCCCTGATCCAGTAAATCATCGTATGCAAATTGTATACAGATCTGTGTCCTTGTCTTCTGGTTATGCATTTCTTCTTGATTCAAGCTTTCCTGCTATCTTAATTACTACAGAGGATTGGCAAGGTTCTCTCATCTGCCTGGCGCCTGGCTGCCCTTTCCTTCAGCGTCCTTGTTGTCGACCAATAGCATGGCAGGAATAGGCAAGATCCTTGTGACCACAATAAAAGGGTGCAGTTGACCGTGGCAAAAGGCCTGAGTGTATGTGCTAGAAGTAATGAACCATAAAAGTAATGTCCTGTTAATACATTTATTCCTCAAGCCAATAGTCCTCCATGTTGAAAAATTTTATATTTTCAGGCTTGTTCTTGGTCTCCTTATGTTCCTTCTACTCTGTTTCTTTCATCCTGCAAAGATCTCTCAACAAAAACTTCCAGAGGATCGCATTCTCTCTCACTACAGTATCCAACGAAGAAAAATAAAAAGGGATCAATGCCTCTGGCTATGGCATCAAATAGCACAGAAATAGTAAAAAGAGGTACACCTAGTGCGTCATACCAATATTCTAGGAAATTGTAGACTCTAACTGATGAATCAAATATAAGGAAGAATATAACTACAGCTGTAATGGTGACATCAATTGGTGCAGGAGGGCCTTGCCGTACTTTTTGCTTCATTCTGATAAAAATGGCCAAAGTAGAAATGGCCATGATGGGTACAAAGATCAAGAAGATTATTATTTGGAATATGGTTTGGAAGTAACAGCCGTAACTGTCTTCATCCAGGTAGGCATAGAACCTTGGATAGCATGTAAAATACTCCATAATGGATACCAGAGCAGAGAAAATCCACGATAGGGCACACACCAGAAATGAGAAATGTTTTGGTCGGTGACTTCGATACCAGATGGGGAAAAAGACTAACACACATCTTTCGGCACACAAAGCTGTTAATACATAGAGGCCAGAGTTGTATGCAAGCATATATGTCAACTCCAAAAAGTTTGAAACTGAAGCAGTGACTTCAGTTGGTTTCAGAAATAACATAAAATATGTGTACTGATAAAGCAGAACAATAATATCAGCAAAAATCATATTCATAAAGTACACAGTGAATTTTGTCTTCTTGATCTTAGAACAAAGAAAATAAAAGACCATTGCATTAGCAAACAATCCCAAAATGCAGATTGGAATGGCTAAGATTATCATTGCTTTATAAGTTTGCAGTCAGTGTCAATTCTGGATCATTTTCTTTTTCAGCATCATTAGACAAAACAGTTGGTTATCTGTGTCAGCATCGGATTACTGAGTGGCTCGGTAATTCTTCTCAACCTGCCAAAATTGAACATAAAGTGTTATTTTTCATATGAAAAGCTGCACAGCCCTAGCGCCCCCCCCCCCGAAAAGGGGAATGATAAATAAATTCTGAGTACTCTCTACCTAGAAAACCCCAAAGAAGGTTGCCATAAATTGGAATTGACTGAATGGCATATATTTATTATTATTATTATTTATGAATCAGCCTATCTGTGGGTGGTTATATGTGCCTGTTTAAATTGCTTCAGGCAGAAAATGGTTACCATTGATTCATACATCAAGTTTAAAAGATTTTAAATAAAAATATAAAATATGGGACATTATAGTACCACTACCAAAATATCTTGTATTCTACATTTTTGCCTTAAATGAGTATATAGTCATTATGAAGAATGTACCTAACCTGCTTGGTATCTGAATTATGGGCACAGAGATTGGGGCCAATCTGCTCTCTGTTTCCCCTGGTCCGGGACATTATTTCTGCATCTGTTTTTAAAAGTCCTTTGAATGCAAGAACTATATGGTGCTTCAGTTGTGTGATCTACCCACTCAAATTTCAGACAATAATAATTCTTCTACAGTCATACGCACACTCAATCTTAATAATGTAACACTATTTTAAAAAGTTTTGTGCATTAAGCTGAGTGAAGGAATGGAAAGGAAAAATATTCCAGGATACAAGCAGTGCTTATCTCAACAGCAATCCAAGTCTCTCCTCACTCCAGAACTCAAAGAAATGGCTGCTGGAGTAGCTACAAGGGTAGAGATGCTATACAGTGGCTGAAATCCAATAGTATGTTGTAAGTAAAGTAGGCCCCTTGAATCAGAGAAACGTATAGAGGAACTGATTCAGTAAATTCCATCTGATTTAGTAGCATATTCTAGTTGTGAGTTACTACTAGATTTCAGCCAGTGGTGAAGTGGTTGGACTTTTATGTGGGGTGGCGAGTTTCACCCATCACTTGCTTCCAATTTTCTCTCTCAAGTGTTAGAGCTGGCCATCTTTTTAAATGCCAAACGAAATACTAAGGCGCTGTTGTGGTGCCCAGGGGAGGGGAACAGTGACTCCTTGCTCTACCCCATAGTTGCCCTGATTCAGTTCCTTCTTGCATGTTTGTCTAAAACAATGTACATTTCCATCTTATTTTTTTGCTTGAATCATCATTTTAATTTGATTTATGAAAATAATGATTTATAGTTTTCATACATATTGTCTTAAATTTTACACGTGAAGGTTAAATTTTACACGGGGGCGATTTCAAATCATGAATTTTCTCTGCATCTATACCTTTTATAAATAGTTAATTGGACTATTTTAAAAAAAGAAACTGGATGTTCAGAGATTAGTAGCAGCAGCAGCAGCAGCAGCCGGGTAGGTGGGGCTCGTCAGCCTTCGAAGGCAGCCCATCTAGGAGAAGGAAAACTCCGATTTCAAACCTCCACTGCCTTGTGGCTATATCCACTCATGGAAAAGGCTTCAGGAGTTAACCTAGAGGCAAAATCCAGAGCCGGAGTCCCGGAGGCAGTTTGTGTCGTTCTGCCAACTTCTGCAACGTTGCTGGAACCAGTTGTATTTACTCTTGCCTTTCTATTGGACCATTTCAGCAACGTGGAGAGGAGGGATCTGCTGCTTGGGTAGCAGCCTATCCATATTACTTTACCCAGGCTTCATGCTCTGGAGAGGACACTCCTCGATTCAGAACATGTTACCATAGTCTTTCGAGACTGAAGGATGCCTATGATGAGGAGTAGTAGTATTTATATGCCGCATTTCTCCCAACAAGGGACCCAAAGCGGCTCACAACATTAAAATTCACACAATTAAAAATACAGTAAGTTGAATATTAAAAGGCAAGTTAAATAATGTATGATTTAAAATAAAGTTAAAAGATTAAAAAATAAAAAAGATATTGTATACATTTTACAAAAATCAATAAATCATGTCCTTTTACAAAATTATCCCCTTTTGGTTTTTGTTCTCTCCTGTTGCAATATATTATGAAGGTATTATATTGCAACTGAGGCAGGGCAATTTTGCTAAGATTACATGTCAGCCATGGAAATACTTCCTCCCCAACATTTAAGGAAATAACATCTTAGCAATTTCCTCCTCTCTGTGTGTGCATCTGATTTATGCTCTGCTCATGCCCTAGGATGAAGTCCTTGGCAGAAGAGGGGGGGAAAGGTCCCAAGACTGATGGAAGAAGATGTAATGATGCTTTTGCTGATTGAAAAATGCTAACAGTTCAGAAAGGTGGCTGAGTAATGTACTTCCCATTGGGAAATGTTCTCTTTGAGTAAGGAAACATTATTGAAACTGTTCTGTGGAATTCAAAACAAAGGCCTAAAATAAAGGCTTCAAGGAACCTGTAAAGACTGTACAAGTGCGAATTTTACACTACAAACCAATTAGGGATGTTTCTTGAAGAAGGCACTTAATGTGTGGGTGTGGCCCCAGACGTTTGAGTAAAGCAAATAGTTAGCTTCAAAATTAATGGGCTGCAGGCCCAAGTCCACAAGGGAGAAGTAGCCACTGAAGTGAAAGAAAATGTACATGTGGCCACAGCAAGATCCAGAAACAAGATACCTGTCTTAGTAACCAGAATGTGGTTATTAATTCCATTACCTCTCTTCATACACAGCCTTTTATATCTTTGCAATTCTGTCAAGGAATCTAGCTCTGCTTAGCTTTTTTTTTCCTCCTATGACAAGGACTCCATGGAAAACAACTTCATTATTTCTTGGTTTTGATGTTATAACAATGGCCTACTTCTATCTGCAGCTGCAGTGACTGTAGAAATACTAGATTGTCCAGGCTTTGTGTTGCGATGGAAGCCTAAGATGGTGACAGTTTTGGAAGGCAAAGGGGGGAATACATTCTTCCATTGGGCAAACTGTCTCTACTTGGGCCAGATTTGACCAACCACTACCTCCTTTGAGCAAGATCTCCAACAATCCTGTGCATTGTACAGATGCCACATCACTGTCATTGTCTCCAGATGAGAGGTCAGTTGGAAAGGATGATGTGTGGATCTCAAGAGTCTCAATCTGTCTCATTGGAGTGCTATGCATGTGGAATAGAGTTTGTGCTCAGCCACTGATTATTTAGCCTCTTGTTGATAGTTGTTTGTCTTTCACAGTAGGAAGAGGTGAAGGCAAATGACTAGGTACATCTTTTGGGGGAATGTGACTCAGGTTGTCTGTTTGGGGTATACTCCCTGCAGTTGATGCCACATATAGTTTGAAAGCTCCCCTAGAAAAAATAACTTGGAAGAATAGGGGATTAGAATGCTAAAGCAAGGAGTCAAGAGATAAAAGGAACAACAAGGAAGTTGGGCCTCGGAGTTCAAAATGAAGCAGGGCAAAGGTTAATAGAGTTTTGTCAAGAGAACAAGCTGGTCATCACAAACACTCTTTCCCAACAACACAAGAGGCAACTCTACACATGGACATCACCAGATAGACAATACTGAAATCAGATTGATTATATTCTCTGCAGCCAAAGATGGAGAAGCTCTATACAGTCAGCAAAAACAAGACCTGGAGCTGATTGTGGCTCTGATCATCAGCTTCTCATAACAAAATTCAAGCTTAAACTGAAGAGAGTAGGAAAAAGCACTGGGTTACTCAAGTATAATCTAAACCTAGATTTGGTGGACAGAGTGCCTGAAGAACCTTGGAAAGAGGCTCGTAACGTACAGGAGGCAGCAACAAAAACCATCCCAAAGAAAAGGAAATGCAAGAAAGCAAAGTGGCTGTCCAACGAGGCCTTACAAATAG